TCTGAGAACAACTCTCTCAATCGTTGAACGGCTAAACACTTCGATGCTCCTTTTCAACCTTCCTCCCTCCTCATTCTCATTATCCTTCTCCTAAGCGACTTCTCAACGCCGGTTCCGTCCTACACACGGGCATCGTGATGACGAGCATTCCTCAGTCATTTGTCAAGTCCATTATTACAATTGTATTCCCTACTCTAAGTCTTCGCACTCGCAACGCCTTAGCTGCTTTTATGTTTGGTCTGCCTGTGCCATGCTCAGAAGCATGTGCAAATGGTAATTCCTTTGTCTTTGCAGAGTTCAGCACAACGTCATGCTACCTCGGAAAATATAACCTGGCTACAGATGACTCCGGACGGTGCGTGTGTGGAAATTCGTTAATGTAGTCTTGATCTTTCGATCATGATCATCACAACAGCAGGACTGTCACCTTGTCGGGATGCCGAATGTGCCAAAAGTATACGCTAGCACCGGCATACCCCAGGGATTGCCAGTTATGATCATGTTCTATAAGAAAACGGTTTACACGACCAACTTTAGACGCTTATTATTCAAATGTGTGCATTTCCTTCATATTCTATCATACAGAAAATATTTTGCTAGCAGCCAGGGGCTAAGCGTCGCCAACTATGTGCGACCTGCTACAAATTATCACGATTATTATTAGCTTATCATTTTGATCGACGGCGGTGACGATTAGTCCAAAATGATGTCACTATAAATCGATTTCACAAGAAGAATCAGATTATGAAAAATTGCACACATCGAATATAGACTTTCCCATTCTCGGTACCTTCTTCGACTGTCTTTCGGAAATTAAGTCAAACTAATTTTATTCAGACACTAAATGCCAATACGAGGTAGAATTTTTTAATTTTTGCTGAGAACTAACTATTTCCTGTTGTATGTTGGAACCAGCTGGAAACAGGCAGTAATTCGATAAATAATCTGAGTTGAACAGGGATAATGTGTGATGCGGTTTTACCAGACCAAGTCATAGTATTTAACGTATGCGCATTTGAGGACCGCGAGTTTTGACGCAGCTAAAGTCTTCCTTCAACGCAGAACGAAACGACATATCGCTGATGGAAAGAATCAACGGCCAGAAATCGGGACAAGTCATGTACATGCTGCCGTAGTATACTACTCTGTTAGTCAGCTTTACAGCCAGCCAGCTAGTTTAATTGCATAAGGCAAGTTATTCTAAGGAAAGGATACATTTTTTGACGCTACATCTTTCCTTAGAAGATACAGGTGCATTTTCATAGGCATCTACAAGCTATGTTCGCTTACGAAATTTTGGTGAGTGCCCATAGAAGTTTTTTCATCACGAATTACACCTTCCATCTGTAATGTATAGGAATGACTTATGCAGAAAAGAATGCTGAATAATTCTTATTTCATGGCGTTTTCACCTGATAACTTTCGCCGGTTTCCGGAATTTCCGGAACAGGCACCCAATACGCGAGTGAATACGCGTTCACGCATTCCTTACGGCGCTGCCGAGGGTTACACTTGACTCGAAAATGCCTGCCAAGAGGCCGCGTTGTGGTGGAGGCATTCCGGGTGGCGAGAGATCGGAACGAGCGTAAATAATCAACGTGAGCGTTGTAGTCGGTTGAGTAACAAGCACCGACGGAGCTGACGGCCGTACACCTTGAATCGGTGAGTGACGACGGCATGATGAGGGAGTGCATGTGTTCGCTGATGACCTCAGAACAATCGCCTCTGTGATGCTGCCACCCCGTCTAACATGACAGGACAGTCATCGTTGGCCGCTTTAGCTTCGTTTCGCACCGCGTCATGGTGTCTATCTGGCCAGATTCTCAGACACGGGTGGTAGCGCGACAAAATGTTGTGTGATCAGTGCCACTGTGTCAGCGTCGTGTCGTTTTTGTCCCCTGTTCTACGTGGCCGGCCTGCTTCAGAAGCGCTAAACTGACAATTCGAAAGTCAACGGTTCTCGTTCAGGAAATAGACCAACCACCGACCGGCTGGTTTCGAAACGGGCAGGCTAATACACCACCTCCCCCCCCCACCCCCACACCCACTACGTAGCCTCTGAGCCCGGCTTCTTTTGCCGGGCATTGCGTCGTCCCCTGTGTCCATTGGCGCAGTGAGGAAGTCGGACTTGTCGCCCGCACTGGTCGGGCCAATCAGAGCCGCTCGTCCGCGGACGGTTGTCTTCGTCGCTGGTGTCGAATCATCATCGTCACAGATTTATGGAACCGAGCCGTCGTCTTCGTCGTCGTCACTGCCATTGCTACTGTATCCGTCGTACCTCGGTTACCTCACAGTTGTTTCCCGGATAAGCATTTGAGCAGCGTTGAACGATCGCTCCCGTCGTCCTTGCACTTCGATTCCTATGTTGATCAAAACAACCGTCCGTCGGCCAACTGTTCCGCTTTCATATTAGCTACCGGCAGATCGACGTGCAGTGGCATGTCGTAGACGAAGACTACCGCGTCGTGGACGTCCACATCGGATTTACGGATTTTTACGTGCCTTGTCCTCATTTGTCGCCGATGTCCGAGTCTGGGCTGATCGACGACCTCGCATGTGACATTTGACTGAGTCTTCAGATCGCCCGTCGCCTCCGATTCATTAGCATGGTAGGCGCTGCCAAATGCAATCGTGACGCCGTCTCTGTTGCCAGCTTCACCTGTACCGTTCGGACAGCGCTGCTGGTCATCGTTGCAA